TTTGTATTTGCATGTGGCCCGCGGGCCGTAGTTTCAGGACCCCTGTTCTAGCTGGATTGTTTTTCCACTGTTGAGTTGTGGAAGTTCTTCATATATTCTGGGTATGAGTCTTTTGTCAGGTATTTCTTCCAATTTTTTTTTTATAAAGACACCTTTTGAGAGCAGTTGTAGGCTCATATCAAAGTTGTGCAGAAAGCGCAGAGTTCCTGTGCCGCCTCTGGTCCTCATGCACAGCCTGTGCCCATGACCACCCCCTGCCTGAGCGGTGCATTTGCTGCAACTGGCGAACCTACATTGACATGCTGTTATCACTCAAAGTCTACAAGTTACATTAGAGTTCACTCTTGGTGTGGTACATCCTATTGATTTAGAAAAATGTACAATGATGTGTATCCATTATTATAGTATCACCCAGAGTATTTTCTCTGCCCTAAAAATCTTCTGTGCTCTGCCTATTCATCCCCCCACCTTCCCTCAAATTCTTGGCAACCGCCACGGATCTTTACACCCTCTCCATAGTTTTTGGCTTTTCCAGAATGTCACATAGTTGGAATCATACAGTTTGTAACCTTTCAGATTGGCTTCTTTGACTTAGTATTATGCATTTAAATCTCCTCTATGTCTTTTCACTATTTGGTAGCTCATTTCTTGCTAATGCTGAATAATATTTCATTTTCTGGATGGATCACAGTTTATTAATTCATTCACTGTCTGAAGGTTGTCTTGATTGCTTTCAAGTTCTATCAATTCTGAGCAAAGCTGCTATAATCATCCATGTGCAAGCTTTGTGTGGACATAAGTTTTCAGCTTCTTTGGATGAAGACCCAGGAGCATGGTTGCTGGATTGCATGTTGGGAGCATGTTAGGCTAAGCCATCAGCATACCAAGGCCACCTAGGTCTTCTCCTAGGCCATCTTCCAGAAGTGGTATAGTTTTGTATTTTGCGTTTAGGTCTGTATCGATTCTTTTTTTTTTTTTTTGCACATGGACATCCAATGTTCAATAGAGCTTGGTTTCCATCCTCTTAACAGGGTCTTTTGCAGAGCAAAGTATTTAATTTGAATAAAGTCTAACTTACTGATTTTTTTCTTTATGGATTACATTTTTGGTGTCATGTCTAAGAACTCTTTGTCTTAACTTTAGTTCCCAAAGCTTTTCTCCTATGTTTTCTTCTAACACTTTTATAGTTTTACATTTAAATATACATTTCATTTTGAGTTACTTTTGGTGTATGGTGTGATGTTTAGCATACTTCCTCTACCCCTCCACCCCCAAGATACCAAATTCCTCCTATATCACTTGTTGAAAAGATTATTTGCTTTTGTGCTGTTGTCAAAATCATTCAAGCATTTTTGTATGGGCCTATTTCTGGGTTATTCATTTTGTTCTGGGTTATTGATCTATGTGTTTTTCTTCATCAATACCATACGGCCTTGATTATTCTAGCTATATAGCAAGTCTTAAAATGAGATAGTGTGAGTCTTCCAACTTTGTTCTTCTTTTTCAAAATCATTTTAGTTATTCTAGTTGGTTTTGGATTTCCATATAAATCTTAGAATAAAATTAATATTTTATTTAGATTAGCAATTAAAATGTATTTAAAAGAAAAGTTAGTTAGAATTGGATGTGACCTAAGTCACATTAAAATAAAAATATAACTACTACAATTAAAAAATTCATCATAAACCATGTGAAATGATCTCATAAATCACTAAACTGGCCCAGACCCTTATCTCCCACACCCATATATTAGGAGGGGGTTTTCCATAGAATGCTGGCTGTGACCCTTGGGGAAATTCATATCACTCTGTCCCTTGTCTAGGGCTGGCTCAGTGTCAGCTGGCTGACTCCACAAAAGTCACATATAGGATGAGTAAGCTTCCCTATATGGGAACCAATTAGGCGAAGTCAGGCATTGTTAGTGAGAACAGGGTGGAGCCATGAAGAAGCAGGCACTCAAAGGGTGAGGCACGCAGAAGGCAGCGGTCTCCCACGTGGGGCAGTTCTGTGGCCTGGCAGTGGCAGGAAGGGTGGGGAACTAGACCACAAGGCACTCAAGAGCTGTCCTAGGTCCTGAACAGCCTTCTTCCATCTTCCAGACAAATCATGAGCAGGATGGTTCTTCAACTCTTCCTTTGTGTTTAATGTAGAGCTTGGGGTTCGCAGCAATGGTGGAGCGCGAGACCGCTGAGCCACGCTGGCTAGCCCATTGTGGTTTTTGATAGTAATTTGCTTACACATTACTATCTTTGAATAATGCCTAGTACATAGTAGAGATTCAAATTCTCAGGCAATAAGTGATTAGATGAATTGGATATTTTTTCATTATTCCTTGATTTTCATCTTTTTACCCCAGCTGACTGTGAGCCCCATGAAGGCCAGGACTATGCTTTTGTTTTTCTTTCACGGTTTTGTTCCGAGAGACAAGCAACGTGCTGGCACAGGAGGTTCTCAGAGACATGACCATGGCTTGTCCTGGTGGCTGAGCAGATGGGTGGGTGAGGAGGGCTTGGGAAGTCAAGACAGATAGGCAGCCTTGCTCTCTAATTGGACCCTGTGGGAAAGCCAAGGGAACTGGCTCGCGTGGGCCCAGATCAGTGTCCACGCCGGGAACTTGGCTCATCTTTCCTTCCTTGAAGGCTTAGCAGGGGCTGCTCTGTGCACTTATCCCACACACATCCTCTCTTGCTTCCCTCCTGGGATGGGCCTTCCCCTCGCTGCAGTCCCAGAAGGCCTGGCCTTTCCCCCTGTCCCGAGCACACTCCTACCTGGGTCTTTCCCACCAGCCAGGAGAAAGCCGATTCCTGGTCCCACCATGGGGTTTCTACCAGTGGGGGCCCAGAGCGAGGCATGGCCAGCCTCCTTCTGTGAGGCTGGGCAGTCAACTGGAACCTGAGTCTGAGCTGGAATTGCACGTTCTCTCTTGTTGGCCTCTACTATTAATTCGCTGTGTGCTGAGGGTTGTACTGCAAGCCCGCGGAAGGTTTCTTTAGAAGGCACCCCGCCAGGCTAAGGCCTTGGTGTTGTGGCAGGACAGCACCCTCCTTCGGGGGGTGGAGGGAGGGAGGTCAACAAGTGAACCCGGCTTCGTTTGAGCCTCTTTAATGGATTCTGTAAAATGTGCTCATTGCCAACATTATTTGTCCAAGCGCTTGTGAGTGTTTTAAAGCTTTTCTCCACCCATTTCACTCTGTTCCCAGAGTTCAAGTTCTCTGAGAGACTTAAGCAAGAGGAGGCATTTCTTTTCTCCCCTTTTCTTCTTTTTTTAATTGTGTCATTTGGAGTGTTGACCAGGCGGGTGGGCTTTCTCTGCCCTTGGTCTGAGGCAGAGCTTTACTCCGCTTTCCAGCTGTTCCCACTGTCACCTGTGAGAAAGGAAATGCTATCCACACGCTATGGAAGTCGCTTTCTTAGCTACGGCAATGGACTCGGCTTCCGAATCCCCTCACACGTTGTCTCATCTGAGCCCCATTGAGAGGGACTGCAGGGCTCACCTAGACTGGGGTGTCGGCTTCCACTGACTGTTGGGGACTGTCCCGTGCATCGTAAGCTGTTGGCAGCACCCCTGGACGCTGCCCACCGAATGCCAGCACTGTCCTCTAGTTGTGATAACCAAAAACGTCCCCAGACACTGCCAGATGTCCCCTATGGCGGGCACAATCCCCCTTGGTTGAGAGTTTTCAGATGGGGAGGCTGAGCAAGGCACCAAGGGCTTGCCCATGGCCCCAGTGGGGAGCTCTAGCCCAGAGTCTGTTGGCACTGCCAGCCCACAGTAGTCCCGATTCAGCGAAGGGGGCCATCTCCTCCTCTCTGCCTCCAGTTCAACTTCCCAGTCTGTCCTCAGTCATGGTCCTTCCCAGCGCGAATGCCTCTCTCCAGCACGTTGGTCTCTGGAGTGTGTGTGTCTCTCATGGGTCTGCTCTCCTACCTCCCGAGTTTCATGCCCAGAGGGGCAGGCTCAGACAGCTCATCTTGTTCGTGTCCCACGGAGGTCTGTGGGCAGAACACTCCAACGTCCCATCCGGGGCTGCCCCACAGCGACCCCAGGAGCTCAGTCAGCTTCCTGGGCCATGGAAGCGAGGAGGGCACCCCCTGGGTGGAGAAGACAGAGTGACAGCGCCCACAGCCCCGAGGGATCGCTGGGATCCCTCATGTTCTCTGTTCTGCCAGAATCAGAGACCAAGTTCTTTGATAACCATTCGGGGCACCTGTGTTGATGCCAAGTTGGGAGTCTCCGGTCCCCAGTATCTAGCGTACCTCCCGCCCTCTCTTGCTTTCTGGCCGAAGAATGGGTTCTTTCCTCTAAGGTCCCACACAGGAAATGTTAAAAAGCGTTCTTTCTTGCAGGACTTCCAGAGCCTTTACCTGCTCACATGCTCTGAGGTGGTCCCACAGTTACCCAGGATGCAACAGTTCCCCAAGTAATGTGTCCACAGCACGCTCTCTTTTCACGGAGCATCTCATCCCTCCACTCGTGGGATATCCATGGGAACGTGTCACCCAGCAGTGAACGTGTACCCCGTGCCTTCGCTGGGCAGTTCTCAGGAAGCTTTAACTAGGAAGGATGAGAGCAGCCAGACAGGGTTGCCTCTTGGGTGTGATGGTGCTTAGTGGCTGGCTTCAGGGCAGGACCCTGGAGAAGAGAAAGTGTTTCTCAGATGTCTGGGTGTTCCCAAGCCGTGGGGGCGAGCCTGCACCATCTGACCTACCTGTGCATGTCTGGCTGCAAGAGATGGAGCCGGGGCTCCCAGGGCGCCGTGTCCACCCTCACCCTCCTCCTCTGAAACCCCAGGGGAGGGCGAAAGGGCAGACATGCAGAAAGAGAAAGGAAAGCAGAAGTTTCCACTTGTACTGGATGGTTTTGTTTTTTTTATCTGTTTGCAAATGTTCAGTGTAATGGTTTGAAACCCAGCCGTGGAGCTGCCGCCGCCCACACACAGAGCTGCCGTGGCACTAGCTTCCCCGGCGAACCGTCGCCCCGGCATCGGCCATTAACCGAAGCCACCCCGGGGCAGGCTGCACGCGTGCCCGGCGTCCCTCAGCACCCACACCGCACGGCACCCCCGGCACCGCCACCCTCCACACACACACAATTAAAAAAAAACCTGCAGCCCCCGGTTTCTCTAGAGGAGGCATAGAGAGAAGCAAAGGCAGGATGGGACGAGCAGGGAGAAAGCTCCTGCTGCACCGGAGCCACCAGTCCTCGGGAGAGCGCGCCAGCCCCCGCCTGCCTGTGGACTGACTGCAAGGTGAGAGAGGTCTTTGTGATTTCTTTGTGCACCTGGAGGTCTGGGAGGCCAGGCCAGATGAAGGGACTTAAGCATTGAGCCTGTCTGATGCCTCCCGAGTGATTCTATCAGGCAAGCATGATGGACGCTCCCTGCCAGGCACACGCAGTCATTTCTGACACAGCCCCACCCAGGTCCCCGTGAGTGCTGTGACCAAGGGGTGTCTGATCCCCCGTCTGCCACCCTCAGCACAGCCTGGGATGTGCATTCAGGTCTAATCCTGCTCTGGCCTGACCTGCTGATTTCCACCTGAGGCTGCTGACCACCCCCATCCCCCCCCCGCCCCCCGGAGCGAGCACAGACCGATTCCTTTGGGGCCATATGGAAGGGTTCTCCGTCCAAGGGGCTTTGGGAAACCTGTTTCCCCAGTGACCCCAAACCCAGTAATCAGAAGCAATCAGACCCAGCTGTCCAGCTAATCTGTACGAAATAGGCTTCCTTCCCAGTAGAAATCAACAAAGTTTAAAATAGAAGGGCTGTCATCGGAAACAGAGCTGCAGAGTTCTCTGCGGTGCAACAGGCAGGGACACTTGCCTGGAAAATATTAAGTCCAAATGACAGAGCTCATGGCCACACGAGCCAGGAAAAGACTCGGCTTCCTTGCTTATTAAGCATGTTTGTGGGTCGGAGGGTAGCTGAGTGGGGACCTCGCTCCTGGAGGGCTGAAACCTGTTGCCAGGGAGGAGCGACATCAGGGACCAAGGCAAGGATGGAGGGCGAGAAGAAAGGCCCTGATGTAACGTGCATGTAGGAGAGAAGCAGAGGAAAGGCCCTGGTTCTGTGCAGTCAGGGATGAATCAGTCAGCGGGTCTATTTTTAGTCGCTAAGATCTGCTGTTACATTTGCCTGGCATTAATTAATGTCACAGGCATGTAACATCCGCGGTTCGGAAGGGCCTCAGCATGTCACTCACACTGGGCGGGAGGGGCGTCCACCCTCGTGGAGGGTTGCCCTCAGGGTCTGAGGGGTCTGGGCTCCGACACAAACATGGGGCAGAATGTTCCGCTCTCTGGCCTTGCCCTCTCCGGGTGTATCCGCTAATCTCCTGGCTCCGGCCCTTGGGGGTCTGGCCACTGGCCAAGCGAGAGTTGTGATTGTTATGCTTTGTTTTTAAAAAAGGAAAGGCTGAAATTGAAAAAAAAAAAGAAAGAAAAGATGTTGGATAGTGGTTTGGAATAAGGAAAATGGTGTTGGGGGCAACTCAATCATCGCAGAGGAAGGAGGCCCATAATCCCCAAACAAGACTGATTTTGACGAAGTAGATTTCGTAAGTGGGGAGCATTTTCCAACGTAGTTTAGACAAAGTATATGTTAGCAGGAACCAAGTATTGGGTTGGGGTTGATTGGATGTTGGCTGCAATTATGTGTGAGACTAATTATCCCATCAGAAGCCTGTTCGTGTGTCAGAGCCGAGACCTTCACTCCAAAGAGAATTTACATGCAGGACAGGAGTGTGTGCCTGGCTTCCCACGGTGGCACAGGGTGACCGTCGGCTTGAGTAATGGGCAAGAGTGAGCAACAGAAGGCCATGTGGTAGTCAAGCTGTTGGGACAATGTTTTTGTACATTTGCAACAATTATTAGGTCAATAAGAAAGTGAGACTCAACAGGCCCTAATTAGAAGAGACACCCTTTATACTCTCTCATTCAGCATGCCCCCTCGCTCCCAGAGTCAGACCGCGTCACTGATTACTGGTCCCGCGCCACTTGTCAAGGCCTATGTGTGGTCCTTATTTACTTCAAAAGTCACTTACGGTTGGTCCATCCATGACAAGGGCACGGACAACCTCCTGAGTAGGCCGAGAGAGTTACTGGGCACTTGGCTGGCCTCTCTGTTGAGTGGAGAAATACAAGATGTGTAGATGACCTCTGGGGACCATCAGCAAAGCCAATTTTCAGATCCTCAAGAAGCAGCACTGCATTTCTGACATTCTGGAGAGGGTGTGGCCAAGCAGGCCTGACCTTGAGGGTTCTGCTACCAGCTCCATCCCATTCTTTCACCCCCACGGCTGACTCCAGGACTGTGAGCCGCCCCCCTCAGCTGCTCTCTGATGAGCCCTGTTCTCCTGACCATGCCGTGTTCCTTGAGGACACCCACCGCATCCTTCCCCAGGACCCCTGGGCTGGGGACACCTGTGTTAGGAACGTGGACCTGAGAGGGGAGCCAGTGCCTGGCGTCTCTGTTGCTGATGCGAGTCTCTGGCCTCTTCTGGTCCTGTTTGAGACCCACCAGAGGACGCCATTGGAAAACCAGTGAGCGCTTCCTCGGTGCCCACAATATAGAGTCCTGGGCTGCTTCGCGGTTTCTTCTTGCACATGGAATTCTGACCTGCAAGGCCAGGGACGGCTTTCGTCCTTGGGCCCTGCCTCCACGGTGGTCGGTGGTTGGTGGTCGGTGGTCGAGGTGCTGATTGGAGAAGGCCTTGAGGCTGTGCCCAGAGGGCTGACCTGCCTTTCTTATTTGAATCCTTGGGGGCCTGTGAGGTTGGTGCTGCCCCATCACTACTTCACAGAGGAGGAGGAAATGGAGCTGTATAGACTTGATTTGCACTCCATAGTCTAGTCATTGATCTTACTATAAAAGGACACTTGGCCCTAAATAAAATCTTGAAGGAACAGTGTCATTCCTGGGCAAGGTGCCCGTCTACCTGGGCTGCCAAGTAGGTGGAACCCGAGGCGCCTGGCCCAGCTCGGAAGCACGCGTCCCAGCCAGAAAGCCGAGCCCAGAGCAGTTGCTCTCCATGCCCGCTCCTGCTGAGCCTCTGCATCTGAGGGTGACTCCCAAGAAGGGCCGTGCCCCCTGACCCCGTCCGTCCCCCTGCAGGCCCCCTTCAGCAAAAGAGGAACCGGGCACATCACCACCTTGACATTCTGCAAAGGTCCCGGTTGACTAGTGTGCAAGGGGGAAGCTGGGCAGAGAGTCGGGGAGGCTCAGGACCCTCCCTGCCGCCGACCCTCCTGCTCTGTGACCCGCCACGGGCCTCACATCCTGAGGGGGAGCCCTAGAAACGGTCCCGGTTGACTAGTGTGCAAGGGGGAAGCTGGGCAGAGAGTCGGGGAGGCTCAGGACCCTCCCTGCCGCCGACCCTCCTGCTCTGTGACCCGCCACGGGCCTCACATCCTGAGGGGAGCCCTAGAAACGGGCCGTGTTGATGAAAACACACGTACCCATCAGCACAGGAAGCGCGGCCTCACGTTCACAGCAATAACCACCGGGCCCCTCACAGAAACCAAAGAGGAACAGATTTCAGATTTTTAACTAAATTAGGAAACACATGTTCTCCCTCCCTCGCGCCCTCTCTCCCCTCAGCAACTCTCGGTTTGCCTCACACGTGCCCTCTGCCCTCCCTTCCTATCCCCCATTGGGGAGCAGGACATTTAGGAAACAGTCCGCGCTCCTCTGGGCTGAGGGAGCAGCTGTGAGAAAACAGGATATTAGCGATGCTGGGAGCCCGCGGGCCTCGGCCCCAGGTAGGGCTGTCGGATCAAACACAGGATGCCCGTTAGCCTTTGGATGCCACGTGTGCAACAGAAACTTTTTAGCCTTAGCCTGTCCCAACTATTGCACAGGACACACGTACACTAACGTAGTAACCCTTGTTTCTGTGAAATTCACATGTAACCAGGCATCCTGTGTCTTTATACATTTGCTGCTAGTGACTGCCACACAGGCGGCCTCAGCAGTTTCCTCTTGTCTAGTGTTGGGCCCACACCTCTCTCAGGCCCTGCTTCTGGCCCCTGACATGAACGATAAAGCAGCCTTATCACAGTCAACTAGCGGGTCCTCAGCGCGGGTCACGTGTGAGAGGGGTCTGCCCAATGGAGGCGTGTTGTTATTCGTTGTCTCAGGGGAAACTGAGGCTCAGGAACTGGCGTGACTCAGGGGTGCTCGGAAAGCTGTGGCCTGTCTCCCTGAATAGAACTTTCTGGCAGTGGGTGGGTAAGCAGCCTGCGTGCTGGGGAAAGCAGGCTTGGAGGAGCAGTAATAACAGGTTAGCTTGGGAACGGTTGTATCAACACATGCAAATTATATGCAAATATCCTTGGCCGCCTGCAGGCTGCCCTCCCTGGATGGGAGACCTATGAGCATGGTTCCCAGCCCTGGGTTTCCGGCAGGAGCCGTGTACCTGGCTGAGCACACCGGGCCCGTGAGAGGTCCACGTTCCTGGGGTGCACGTGGGCTGGGGTGGGAGGCGTGTGTGTGTGTCAGTGAGTGAACACACGTGTTCTCTTGGCTGGATGAGGATGCGAGGGGGCTGGTGTGGAGGTGGATGCATGAGGGAGCGTGTTGATGTGTGCGTGACTTGCCACCTTGATCCGTGCGCCCCCAGCAAGCCACATGGCTCCTGTCTCCTGGGATAACCTCTCCCAGGCTCCTCCGGCATCTCTCTCCGGAGAGGAAGAGGCAGCCCCTCTCTGTGGGTGTCCTTCGCTGAGCTCTGGGCTTGGAGACTGTGATGAGAACCATCATAACCAGGACGCTGTCCACATCTCCAGGGCCCGGGTCTACCTGCCGGTGAGCACCCGGTCCTTCCTTCTCAGCGGTGCCTGGGTCATTACCGTCCCCAACTGACAGGGTGTCCCTGGAGGCTTTGAAAGGTGAGGTGACTTGCCCACTGCTGGTGAGACCCCAGCCCAGGTTCAACCCCAGGTGCCCTCACTCCACGCTCTGTGACTGGCCCGGTGAATAAAGGGTGCTAAAAACTGGGTCTTGCCATGAGCTTTCAAAAGACAGAGCACTCTTTTGGAAAGTTCTAGATGGAGACTTGCAAGAGTTTTAACTGAGATGTTTTGGGATTTGTGCTCTTAGGATTGATAGGGTTGGGCTCATGTTGGTGCCGGCGGAGCCCGGTGTGTTGGGAGATGTTCTCCGAGAGAGGAGCCGGGCCAGAGAACACGGTAGGGGTGGTGTCCCCGGCCACCCCCTCCTCCGCTGAAGGGGAGCTTGGCTTAATGACTGCG